ATTTAGGCGCCTCAAAAAAGGCCCGCCCCCACCCACTCACCACAAGCGCGTGGCCGTTTCTCCCCGCGGGGCCGAAGAAGACCATCTCGCCGCCGCTGCCCAGCATGAGCAGCGAGTGGAAGGCGTTCAGATGGAACGCGGTAACCGCGTTGGACACCACCACCATGGCCCGCCCCCACACGGCTGCCACATGCTGTTAGAGGGGAAGAGAAGGGGCACGAGAGAAGGGGGCACGAGGGAAGGGGCACGAGGGAAGGGGGCACGAGGGAAGGGGGCACGAGGGAAGGGGGCACGAGGGAAGGGGGCACGAGGGAAGGGGGCACGAGGGAAGGGGCACGAGGGAAGGGGGCACGAGGGAAGGGGGCACGAGGGAAGGGGGCACGAGGGAAGGGGCACGAGGGAAGGGGGCACGAGGGAAGGGGGCACGAGAGAAGGGGGCACGAGGGAAGGGGGCACGAGGGAAGGGGCACGAGGGAAGGGGGCACGAGGGAAGGGGGCACGAGGGAAGGGGGCACGAGGGAAGGGGGCACGAGGGAAGGGGGCACGAGGGAAGGGGGCACGAGGGAAGGGGCACGAGGGAAGGGGGCACGAGGGAAGGGGGCACGAGGGAAGGGGGCACGAGGGAAGGGGGCACGAGGGAAGGGGCAGGAAAGGGGCACAGGAAGGGCACGAGGGAAGGGGGCACGAGGGAACCCAGATGAGACTTGGGCGCGCACAGGGACACCACCCCCCCATGCTCCCCCCCCCCACATGCGTTCGGGAGGAAAGCCGAGCAGACAGCACGCATTGGGAGGCGGGTGTAGCGAAGGAAGCGAAGAGAGGAAGAGAGGGAATGGGAGGATAACAGGGTGGTAGGGACCGACCTATGGGCATGTTCAGACAACTGTCCAACATATACATCCTTGTCCCCCCCCCCTCCCCCTCCCCCCCCTCGTTTCAGCTCCAAGTTCTGCCCCTTGTCTCACCTTGAGCATGCTGAGAACTTGGCGACCTCAGTGTGTCCATCCTGAGAAACGGTGCGTCAAAGAAGATCACACTCGGGTTGCCCGCCATCTCCATCGCAAACACAATGCGCTTCTCCACATATGCCGACCCCACCCCGTCCGCCAGAATGTCCTGCACCAGGCAGTCCGCACGCCTCCCTTGAACTCCATCAGCTCCAGAATCTGCGCCACAAACGCACGCCGCCGCTTGTCGGGCATGTGCTTAGGCAGTGTGACGGCGGTGCGGTAGCAGGGCTCTCGCGCAGCGTGAGGAGAGGGTAGTAGAGGTCGGCGCCTCCATGTACGACGTGTTGCACCGGAAGGACGGGGCGTCCTGGGCTTGCCGTTCACCAGCAGGCGGCCGGTCAGTTGCCCGGCACCTTGCACCTGAGTGGAAGAGAGGGCAGCAGAGGAGGGAAGAGAGAGGGTAGATGAGATAGGTTGAGGCGGCTTCAAGCCAGGTCCGCACCCTCCATGTACGGTGTGTTGCCTGGACTGGCCGTGTCTTGCCTGGGCTGGCCGTTCACTAGCAGCGCTTGGACAGGAGGCTGGGTGGGCCCCTGCCACCTGAGTGAGAGCAGCGCATGCAGCACACGACAGAGGGATCACTGGCGGCTTTGGAGTCATCTCGTCTCGGCAACTCAAGTCTTGAGGAGGATGGATTCGTGAAGGAATCATACTGTGTTGGTAGCACACCAATCTCGTGGAGGTTCCAACAGACCAATTGACTGCCAGCTCGAGTGTTGGTTCATGTGTCGAGGCCGCTGGTGCACAGTCGAGTAACTCAGAAGCTCACCTGCCAGGCAGTTGCCGGGGCTCCTGCCCATCCCTCACGCCCTTCAAAAACAGTGGCTCAGCTCACCTCAATCCTCTCTTCTGAGCCGACACACACACTCCCTCTCCTCAAGCGGTCCTTAGGTATTAGCCTTTAAGTGTACATGTACAATCAGAGATGACAGGCAACATGTGGTCCCCAGCAGCACCTTCCGCTACTCTCCCTCTCTCTCTCTCCACCTGCCAGGCCAGTTGAGCAACGTAGTCTTGCCAGTGCTCCTGCCCCCCGCGAAGCCGTGATCTCCCCCGGCTTCACCCACCCGTCACGCCGCGCACCAGGCTGGGCTCACCTCGCTCCTCTCGCCACACCGCTGCCGCCCCAAGGCACTGCTGCCGCCCAGAGAGTTCGTCCAGGAGCCTCTGATTGGCTGGAAGGGGCAAGGAGCAGGAGAGGCCTTCAAAGGTGTGAGGTATGGGGAAGGGGATGTTGGACTCCATCACCGCTGCCTCTGCCTCTGCTGCCGCTGCTGCTGCTGCTGCTGCCGCTGCTGCAGCTGCTGCAGCTTGGCGGACCTGCTGCTCCTGTCCACCAAAGAGGCCCCCACTCTGGGCCGCCCTCACCAACCCATGGCAGGGATGCTCCGCTGCCCATCCCTGCATTGCCACTGTCACTGCCGCTGCTCCGCTGCTGCCCCGCCTCCCCTGCGGCTGCCACTGCCTGCCCTGCAGCAGCAGAGCTTCTTCTGCCACAGACGCCACTGAGCAACTGTTTCTGCAAACCATCCGCTGCCCTTCCCGCTGCTGCCGCTGCTGCTTCGGCTGCTTCTGCTGCTGCCTCCCCAACCTCGCCACACTCGCCCCCATTCCTGTTCCCCCAGAAACCGTCCCTCTTGACCCCGTCCTGCCCCTCACCACCCTCGTCCTCCCCCCTGACAATCACGCGCCTCATCCCTCGCTTGCTCTCACTCAGACCCTCACTGCAGGCGCGAAGCTCTTGTAGTGCTGGGCTGCATGCACAGGAGCGTGCCCGCTGTCCACACTGCAATCCCACGCGAGATCACGAGCGGCCCAGCGATCATGTACGCCATTCGAAGTTCCAGCTGAATTCCTCCATGTACGCCTTGCCAATCGCCACCCTCCCTCCCCACACAGTACGGCATGGTAGCAGGGACCGGTCCGGAGCCGGGCAGAATGCACAGGACGAATGGCCGTGCTCGTTAATCACAAGTACGTCGCTGCCCACTGGATGGGGTTGATCCAGTATAGCCAGATCCAGAAACTCGGTATAAGCACCTTCGCTACAAGCATGTGGCCGAAGAGGAACATGCCGGGGCCCATGAAGATGGCAGCAGCAAAGGCGCGGAGCGCAGCGAGCGGGCGCGAGGCGATGAATCGGATCATGGCGGCGCCGTGGATGGCTACAAGGGCAAGCACAGCGAGGAAGATGAAGAAGTGCGCTCCATAGTCAGAGAGGCTCAGCCCGTGAGGAAATACACCAGCACCGACCAATGGTCGCCTGGCGGGGGGGAACGGGGCCAACGGGAGGAGGTGGGGGAAGCATGAGAGCACGGCCACTCGAAAGCACAGCGCAGCATGAGAGCACGGCCACTCCGAAAGCACAGCGCAGCATGAGAGCACGGCCACTCGAAAGCACAGCGCAGCACTTCCCGTTCCTGTTTTACCCTAGGCAAAGTCACGCCACAGGCCGTTCCTGTTTACCCTAGGCAAAGTCACGCCCGACCCGCTCGAGCCGCTGCTCTTCGCGCAGCTATTCACCCCGCCTCCAGCCAGGCGGATGCCCACCCCTCCGTCCTCTGTTTCGCCTACACCGACGACATCTCCTTCTGGCGACCCAGCCGACTGCTCCTCGCCTTCGCGCACTTCACAGCTGCCCTCGCTGACCTTGGCCTGACGCACAACCCCGACAAGTGCACCGCCTGGTCGGCGACGCGACTGGCGCCGCACCTGCTGCCGCCGGAGGTCCCCTTCTGCACAGAGGGCCTCCGAGTACTCGGCACCCACATCGGACCTCCGAGGGGCTGCCACCTTCCTAGGGCCCAGCTCGCCTCCATGGCGTCCCCTTACCTGTCCTTGCCACCATGGACCCCCAGGTGGTGTCCTTACTGCTCCACCGGCGCATCTCTCGCCGAGTCTCATACCTCGTGAGCACGACACCCGTGAACCTGCTCCCGACTGCCGAGTGGTCCAGTGGGGGACAAGACCCCTTCTACACGCGCCTCCGGGCATGTGGCCTGCAGACGCTACGAGGGGAAACTGAAGAGCTTCGCACCTGGCCCAGGCGTCACTATCACCTTCACTAGGAGGCCTGGGCCTCACGGACCCTGCGGTGGAAGGCCCGCACTCCTTCCTGACCAGCGCCACCCACGCTCACGCCCTTCTCGCCTCTCTGCCCGCCGCTGCTGCTAGCCCTCTGACAAAAGCCCTCCGCCCCTGGCGCCTGCGTTCACCAGCCCCACCATCCCTAGGTTGACAAAAACGCATTTGCAAGTTTGCGTTTTGAGTTTAAACGCAAAAGTTTTAACGCAATACTAAAAAACGCATCAAAACGCTCGAACGCACCGCGGAATTTTACCGGGCTGACCGAAGCGAAAAACGCACACAAAAAAAACGCGCGATATCAGAAATCGAAATTGCATTTCGCCGCGCGTCGCGAATCGACAGCACATTTCTCGCGTTGCACATTCGCGAAAATTTTCACAGCGACACATAAACTTGTCAGTCTCTCCCTCCCTTTTCCCAACGTGTTTGAATTCCCAACCCATTCCTCCTTACTAGATCCAGATCTATATGTAGAGGAGAACTCGGCTCACCTTCCATGCACAGCCACGATCTACTCCTACCCTTACGTTTTAACTTCCAGCAGCTAACCTATCCGATTTCCAGCCTCTAACATGGCGTCCTCCTCGTCGCCAGTACATGCTCCTCAATCGGATGAGGGCGAGGGTTCCACCAGTGTCACCACGTTCGTCGAACAGCCCGACCATGCGATATTCAAGCACTTTAGGACGGGTGTGGCAGCGGACGGTAAGCTGACAGAGTCGCGAAAGTGTCACTACTGTCCCGCGACATTCGTTGGTGGCACGACGCGCGCCGCACAGCATTTGACGGAGTGGAACGGGATGAAGCATCGTGGCGTCCACCTCTGCCCCGCCGTTCCCAAGAAAGCTCGTGACGAGGTCAAGGCGCATCAGGAGCGAAACAATGAGTCGATGGACTGCAGGCGTCGTGCAGAGTCCTTGGCGCTGCAAGCTGTCGGCGGCGATGGGATGAGAGGCCGCATGACCGATTTTTTCGGTGATGAGCCCACGTGCAATCGGAAAGCTGCGGATGAGGCGATATGCCTCATGTTCGCGGCTCTTCGTCTGCCAGAGCACATCGCGGACAACCCCATCTTCACCAACGCCATCTCCTGCATTGGTCGTGCAGGCGCTTCCTATGTTGCCCCCAAGCGGCGGTACATAGGATAGGAGGTGCGGGGCTGCAGACGTGCCGCACGCGTGTGGAGACAGCGCTTGGCCCCATCGCCGCCAGCTGGGAGAGGGATGGCGTAACCCTAGCCAGCGACATGATGACTGATGTGAACGGGAGGCCGCAGGCAAACATACTTCTCATCAACGACAGTGGGGCAGTGTTTGTGGAGTCGATCGATACGAACATGGAGTGCAAAACGGGCGGGTACATCGCGAGCATCCTCCGCCCGATCGTGCAGCGCGTGGGCCCGGAAAACATCGTTGCGTTCTGCACCGACGGCGGCAGCAATTACGGCGCGGCGTGCAGGGAGTTGATGGCAGAATTTCCCCACATTGAGAAGGTCCCGTGCGCCACGCATGTTCTGGACCTCCTCATGGAGGACATTGGGAAGATGGCGTGGGCGCGGGCAATGGTGGAGAAGGCGGATTACATCATCGCCTTCTTCCGCAACCATCAGTTCACGCGGAACTTCATGCGCAATTGCAAGGTGGATGGGGGAAAGACGAAACAAGTTTTGCGGCCGGCCGGTACTCGCTTCGGGACCACCTACATAGCGGTGGGGCGCTTGAGTGAGGTGCGGCGGGCCTTGACGCAACTCCTCCTGAGCAACGAGTGGAAGGATTTTGCTGCTGTAGGGGCGAGGAGGGCAGCGGCAGAGGTGTTTAGCACGGCGGTCATGGATGGTGAGTGGTGGAATGTGGCTGAAGCTTTCACCCACCTCATGCAGCTGCCATTTATGGTGATGCGGGCCACGGATTCGTCGACGAAGGGAATGATGGGTAAGATTTACGACCTCATGTTGCAACTCACCGTGGACATGGATGACATGCTCGACAAGCGTGGGGAGGAGTTCCTGAACGAGGACGAGGCGGAAGAGATCCGGGGGTTGGTGAAGAAGAGGTGGGATCAAGACTTGGCTTGCCCCTTGCACGTGGTTGGCCGGATGCTCAATCCGGCCAACCAAACAGAGGGAATCTTCCGCAAGGATAAGGAGTGCACCACTGTTTTGAAAAAGTTCCTCTCCACCCACTTCGACCGGCGCATGGTCACCCTCCCGAATGGGAGGACGGTGAAGGAATCAGTGGTGCTTCAGGACGGCCTCACCGACTTCTTCACCATGCGCGGCAGCTTTGGCCTTGCCGAGGCAATCGCTGACCGTGAGTTGGTGAAGGCGGGAGAGATGGACATGGTGCGGTGGTGGACTTGGCATGGCACCGACCATCCTGCCCTCACCGCCCTCGCTTGCCGTGTCCTCACACAAGCCGTCTCTGCAGCCGCATGCGAGCGCAATTGGGCGGTGTGGGACTCAGTCCACACCGCCAAGCGCAACCGCTTGGGGTCGGAGAAGTGCCGGGATTTGGTGTACGTGGCCCACAACTGGCATGTGGTCCACAACTGGTACAAGAAGGAGGAGGGGCTTGGGGTTGTTGCTGGGAACATCCCCGAGCCCCCCATGCCAGAGGGATACAATGTGCTCGAGGAGGAGGCGGAGGAGGGGGAGGATGATGTGCTTGAGGATGAGTATGAGTAGGATAGATGTACAAGGTCGGATGGAGGAGGCATAGATGATGGACAGAAGATAGGTAGTCAGGAGATGTGGCGGCGGAGGAGGGGGAAGATAATGTGATGGATGATGAGAATGAGTAGGGGAGATGTAGAAGGTCGGATGGAAGAGGCATAGATGATGGAGAGGAGATAGGTAGTCGAGAGATGTGGCTGTGGATGTGTGTCCTTAGCGTGATGTTAATGTGAAAAGAAAATTTCTGCTGTCCCCTCCTCACCCCTCTCCTCCCCCTCCCCCCACCCCCCCTATATCCCCTGCCCGGGCAAAAATTTCCGCCTGCCCGGGCAGGCGTTTTCCAAGCGTATTTGAAGCCTAAAATCCTACGTTTTGCGTCCTGAACGCAAACGTTCCAAACAAAACGCAAAAACGCGGAAACGCGTTTATGCCAACATAGCACCATCCTTCATACCTGCCTGACAGAGTGTGAAGCGACGCTTCCGCCGCGTGCCCTTGAGCTACTGCGGTCGGAACGCGCCGAGGCGTCCGATGTACCCTTGCAGCACCGCCTATCTCTGGAGGTCCAGGCGGCCCGCTATGCCGACCATGTGGAGGCCAGCCGCAGCATGGCGCCAAACCCCAACAGCGGCCATACGCAGCGCCTCTTCTCCCTCACGAGGTATGGCGTGGGGGACTGGCTCCTGGCCATCCCCCTGTTCCCCTCCCTCCGGCTTGCGCCCCCGCACGTCGCGATCGCCCTAGCCTTTCGCCTGGGCCTCCCCTTCCCGGCCCCGGGGGTCTGCAACTGGGCCAAGCGGGTGGAAATCCCCGACCCCCGGCTCCCGAATCACCTGTTCTGCTGTGGGACGGGGCACGGGCGCACTGACACGCACAATGCACTTCGGGACGAGTGCATCCGCATGGCGCGGGATGCACAGTTCATCATCGTGAAAGAAACTGCCATCTACACCCCAATTGGCGACCAAACCACTGAATTGGCAATCCGAGACCGAGACTCGGGTGCTGTATGGATCTGTGACGCCACCGTCACCGACCCAATCAGCAGCCGCGGCCCCCTGGCACGGAAAGGGAGGGGGTACATGGCGCGCGAGCAAGCGGACAAAAAGATTGACCACTATCACAACCGCGCGCCATACGTCGGCCTCTTCCCCCTCGCCGTGGAGACCTATGGGTGCCCCTGTTCCGAGGTGCCCGCATTCCTGCAGCTCCTGGCCAACACCGTCGCCCGCCGCCTCTTCAATGTGGACCCAAGCTCGTACCAAGCAGCCAAACTGCTCAATCAGTTTCAGCAGCGGTGGTCAGTCACCCTCCAGTGCAGGCAGGCCCTCTCGTACCTCGGCAAGGTGAACGAAGCCTCCCCGCTCGAGGGGCCCACCCTTGGGGCGCCGGACGAAGGCATGACCCTCGGGGACTGCTTCATCGTCTTGGAGCCCATAGGGGAGCTAGCGTAGGCTAGCGGGGGGGGAGGGGAGGGTTTAGGATGCATGCTTGTACCTGGCCCACTTGCCTAGCTCTGTACACAGGCTCCTAATGAATACAAAGGACTGCTTGCGAGAACTCAATCCAAGTACATTTCTATGAGAACCTGCCCCACACACGTCAACCAGCCCAGCGATGAGTTGAGAGAGCACGCAGGAGCGCGTGCAAAAGAAGTGCACGTTACGGTGCCTGATGCACCTTTGATCACAGATTCACCCTACGCACCTCAACAATGGAACTGAGCAGCCCCGCGATGAGCTGTGCGAGCACACATGAGCGTGCAGAAGGAGCGCGCTGCGGTGCTTGAAGTGCACATGTTGCTCCAGCATGAAGCCCGGCAGCACAGCGGACTGACTGACGCCTCGCCCTACCCGTTGCCAAGCTATTTCCAGCTTCGCGTCACAAACCAACCACGCAGTGATCCAAAAGCATTATCAGCACCCTACGCACCTCGACTATAGAGAGTGGTAAGCTGGCGATGAGCTGTGCGAGCACATATGAGCGTGTGCGGAAGAAGCGTGCGCTGCGGTGCTTGAAGTAGACCTGGCGCTCCAGCATGTAGCCCGGCAGCAGGCTGACGTTGTTGACGGTCATGGTGATCAGCGAGATCTGCATCACGCCGCGCCGCAGATTCAGATGCGCAAAGGACGGGGGGTCTGCTGGGAGCTGGAAGAAGTCGAAACCCACGAATAGGCCCAAGAGGGTGACCTGGGGAGAGGGGGAGGGTGGCAGAGAGGATGTTTTTAAGATCGTGAGTGGACGTTGGACGTTGGTCAGCACTGCCACCGCACAAGAAGCAGCCGCACATGAAGAACAACTTCTCGAGCAGTTTACGGGCATCCCTACTGCATCACCCCTTTCGCTCACCAGCAGCAGGCTCACAGCAACGAAGCTCCGATTCCTCAGGCTCGCTTTGAGATGAGGTTTCGTTTGTGCTATGTACGATTCTCCCAGAGTACTCTCGCCAACAGACCTTCCACTCACCAGCAGCAGCCGCGCAGCAATGAAGCTCCGGTTCCTCAGGTTCACTCTCAGCTGCCGCTGCAGCAGCAGCTTGAACTCGGGCCACGGCTCCAGAATGAGCTCCTTGCTCAGCAGCTCCCTATTCGCGCCCCCCCACAGCCCCGCCATGGCTGCTGCCCTCGACGCCGCAGCCGCAGCTGACAGGTTCATGGCTTTAAGTGCCTCCACGCCCATTCCTGGGAGCTGCAGGAACGCCTTGCTGCTGAAGCTGCTGCGGCCTCGCAGTGCTGCGAAGCTGAGGGTCTTGAAGGCGGAGGAGATGCCGCGGGGGATGGCCCGCGGCAGCGACTGGATTCTCAGCGCTGGCCTGCTGCTCTTGCTGCTGCTCGCTGCTGCTCCACGCTCCCCCCCAACATCATCCCCCCCAGGCCCTGAACCTCCACCATTAGGCCCTGACCCCGAGAGACTGGAACAAGCGAGGAGCCCGGCAGTGCAGTCAACTAGAGGAGCGCGGCTTTCATCAGCATTGTCATGGCCGGCTACGGCAGGGCTGCCCATGCCATTACCCTGGGTGCTAGAGCCCAGGCCTGCAGCAGTGGTGGGCGTGGGGCGAGCAGCAGTGGGTGCTTGGGGGAGGCCTGCCTCGAGGTCCAAGTCCAGGTCATCGGCTGGCTGCGCGCGAGGCAGCAGCTGCTCGCTGTCCTGCTTCGTAGCGTCTGTGCTGGCAGCGGCTTCAGTGGCGGTGCCCTGGGTGGTGGTGTCTTTTGAAGTTGGTTCCTGTGTGGTGTCACTCTGAAAGTGGAGAAGACGGGGATATGGAGTGGTTTCTAAGTCGGAGAAAAACGTGGAGGGGGAGAGGGGTAAGAATGTGGCAAGCAGGGAAGAGCAGAGGGAACGGGTCCGGCTGGCGACAGAACCAAGCGAAGTGTACATGGAACAGGAGGTAACGCTACCCTCAACCCTCAATCCTTCATATAATCCACATAACAGCCCCCCCCGGATGTGTGACTATAAGGAGCGGTCGCTGCAGCTTCAGGTACAGCCACGTGGAGCTGCCCCTTGACTCCTCCAGCATGTCCATGAGCCCCCCCATTCCCCCCCACCCCCCACCCCCCCCTCAACCTCCGCCTATGGAAAGACCACCTCGCAGTGCTCACCGCCTGTGTGACTATAGTGAGCGGGCGCTGCAGCTCGAGGTGCAGCCAGGCGCTGCTGTCCCTGAGCTCCTCCAGCATGCCCATGAGCTCGTCCCCCGGCACTTCCCCCCCCGCATAGCTCGCATACTCCATTTCACCCCTCTCCCCCACCGTCACAGCCACCACCACATCCCCCACACACACTGGCCCTGTTGCCTCCACCCCTTCTTTCAGATGCCCTCCCCCCCCCGCCCCTTCAAAGAAGACCCGCGCCTCTGTGACCACCACTGCTTGGTAGGGGTGTGGCGTTGCTTCTCCTTTGCTCTCCGCTGCTGTGTTCTTCTGTTCCTCCCCATTTGACTCCCCGCCATCCAGGGTTGACAGAGCGTCGGGTGCCACGTCAGCGAGGGCACAGCGGACGCGGGAAAGGACGTGGCGCGCCGGCCCAGAGATCCAGAGGAGGAGGAGAGGCGCGGGAGAGCTTGTCACACGAAGAATGTTCTTGTAATAAGGAGACTTCTTATATGCCCGCACTGTTGGCAGGGGAAGAGGGATAAGCACTTGTGGAATGAATGATGGTATGGGGGGCGAAACATGGTAAGTTCGAATTGCACCAAGTGGGGGGGAAGGGGCCGGAGGGGGGAGGGAGGGGGAAGTTTATGGAGAGAATAATGCATGAGGTAGCGGATTCAGGTAAAAGCAAACGACAGGAAGTGTTAAATCCCCAACACTAGCTTCAGAGTAATCATCCATAGGATCCTCAGCCCAGCTAAATGGTTGGCACGACCGTCGACTAGACCATTGATGACAGCGGCAGCATCAGCGCTACACTACCCAGTCTCCCTTCCAGCACTCACTCACGAAACCCTTCCTCCACGTACCAAATCCGGCCAGCAGCAGCTTCTTGCCCGCTCTGAGCCACCCCCATCCGCCATGGTGACAAAACAGAGCACACTCTCTGACCACCTTTCACCCTCCCACTCACCCATCCCTCCCACTCACCCATCCCTCCCACTCACCCATCCCTCCCACTCACCCATCCCTCCCACTCACCCATCCCTCCCACTCACCCATCCCTCCCACTCACCCATCTTTCCCACTCACCCATCCCTCCCACTCACCCATCCCTCCCACTCACCCATCCCTCCCACTCCCCCAACCCCCCCACTCCCCCATCCCCCTCATCGCACCGAATCCGTCCAGCAGCAGCTTCTTCTTGCCCGATCGGAGGGCCCCCCCCCCCTCCGTGGTGACATGCTGCAGGTACTCCGGCACCGACATGTGCAGCGGCTTCAGGTACCTGGGTAGGGTAGAAGGGGCAAGGGGAAGCGGGGGGGAGGAGCGGAGATGAGGGGCAGAGGGATTAAAGAGGGGATCAGCTCAAGGTGCTCCCTCCATCGTGGTGGTCACATGCTGCACGCACTCCGGTGCTGACATGTGCACGGCTTCAGGCACCTGAGGGCGGGAGGGGGAGATGAGGGATCGAGGGGATTGAGGGGAGGGAAGCTCAAGGCCGTCTGTGGTGACATACTGCAGGAAATCTGGCCACAACAGAAGAATGGTCTTCTCAATTGGGCCCCCCGAACGCAGTACCAAAGCACGGAAGCCGCCCTGCTTTTCACCATTCATTCATACAGCACCCTGCTGGTGGAGCCTTTGAGTCGACTCAAAGCACCACCTGCTGGTGGACGTGCCTAAGAGCCGCATGGCAGGGCGGGGCCCTTGAAAGACAATGCGCCCCTCATTGAGCACAGGAACACAGGGCAAACCAGCACAGCACACACAAGAGTCTTGAAGCACAGGACTCACCCCAGCGCCTGGAAGTGCCTGAGAGCCGCATGGCACGGCCCCTGGAAGACGATTTGGCCCTGGTTGAGCACGATGACCCGGTCGAAGAGGGAGAAGACGGCCTGAGTGGGCCACTGCAGTGAGCACAGCACCGCGTGCTGCCGCACCTGGTGCATTCGTTGAGGAAAGGGAGGAGAGGGGAGGGTCGGAAAGGGTTGAGGCGCTTCATAGCTGGCAGAGCACGATGGTAAGGCCAGAAAGGGAGATGAAGGCCAGGCCTGTGCGGGCCACTGCTGCCGCGAGCGCAGCGCCGCATGCTGCCGGGAGTGTTGTGTGTTGAGTGCTGACGCTCCTGGAGTGCACGCGAGTGGGTGTGTTGAGGGGGACGGCGAGAGGGGTGGCAGGAAAGAGGGGTCAGTTCAAAAGAAAGAGGGGTGGGTTGGATGAAAGAGGGGTGGGTTGGATGAAAGAGGGGCTGATTGGATGAAAGAGGGGCTGATGAAGGCGTGACTCTTGGCCAATAGAGGACGTTTTTCCACTTGATACTTGAATGTACATGAAACGAAAGAACCGTCCATGCCAACGAATATGGCAGAACAGGGAACAGCGTGGATGTGCTATCCGGCAGGGGCATGTGCTGGGAGGGCCCAAAGCCAAGCGCAGTCACACACACTCACAAACACACACACACGCACAAACACACACACGCCCCCACACCCCCTCACCTGGGCGTGGGTGCGCAGCATGGTGAGAGTCTTGTGGGTGGAGGGCCCGTCGTACACCTGGCTGATGCGGTCAAACAGCAGCACCTAGGGGAGGGGGAAGAGGGGGGCGCATGGATGAGAGTTGGGCTATCGCATTCAAACGTTGTACACCTGACTGATGCGGTCAGACAGCACAGCAGCACCGGCTGGGGGGGGGGGGGAGGGAATGGGGGAAGCTGGTACAGGGGGCTTGTGGGACGTGCGCACATGGCTGGTATAGGGGGCTCGTGGGACGTGCGCACATGGCTGGTAGGGCACGTGGGACGTTCGCACATGGCTGGTACAGGGGGCACGTGGGACGTGCGCACATGGCTGGTGGAGGCCCAGTAGTAAGCCGAAGCCCCAGTACACAAAACCCAGCTTGGCACTACTCCTTTGCAGGGAATGGCATGACACTACTAAGTCGGCTAAGTGGGGTCCTCCTCTAAGTGGGGTCCTCCTCTAAGTGGGGTCCTCCTCTAAGTGGGGTCCTCCTCTAAGTGGGTTCCTCCTCTAAGTGGGGTCCTCCTCTAAGTGGGGTCCTCCTCTAAGTGGGTTCCTCCTCTAAGTGGGTTCCTCCTCTAAGTGGGGTCCTCCTCTAAGTGGGGTCCTCCTCTAACTGGGGTCCTCCTCTAAGTGGGTTCCTCCTCTAAGTGGGGTCCTCTGTTACAGATAGGCTGCAATTCAGTTGGCACAACTTTGTGTGTTGACAATTTGTTGGTTTTAGGGATATGCATATTTGCTAGGTTGGGTGTAGCTATGTTTTCATCCCCAACCTATCCCAACCCAATCCATCCCAAATCCCCACGATTTGGGAGGATTCCCTTGGGATTCCCTCCGATTCTCCCTTATCCCTTCCCATCCTCTCCGATGCTCGGTACTTAAGGATGTATGCTCTTGCTCATTTCTTCAATCAAGTTGTCAGTTTCTAACATGGTATCAGAGCTCGTTTCCGCCTAAGCAACTCCTGATCCTCTCGCTCTGTTGGAGCTTTGCATTTGCGTCTTACGACGCAAAAGTTTTTCTAGCCGCCTAAAATCTGCGCGGCGCTTCTCTTCGAGCTGCCGCCCGTCGCCCCGCATCTGCGCGGCGCTTCTCTTCGGGCCGCCGCCCGTCGCCCCTCATCAGCTCGCTGCACGTGATCGGGCTGAGCCCGTCACCCCACATCTGCTCGTCGCACGTGATCAAGCTGAGCCCGTCGCCCCGCATCTGCTCGTCGCACCTGATCGGGCCGAGCCCGTCGCCCCGCATCTGCTTGCCGCACCTGATCGGGCTGAGCCCGTCGCCCCGCATCTGCTCGTCGAAGCTGAACGGGCTGCTGCCCGTCGCCCTTGCAACAGCGGAGGGTGCAGCGACGAAGCGGACAAGGGGACAGCGGCGAAGCGGAAAGGGGGCAGCAGCGCAGCGGAACAAGGGGGGGGGAGGGGGTCGCGGAGGAGTGGAATTGCAGCGGCATATCTACATTCCATGTAGATTTTCCGACGATCAGATCTGCTTCTTAATCCGCCATTCTCGCTCTCCGAGTGTTGAAAATCGACAAAGGAAAATCCAGTTTTCCGAAGTGCCTATCAGCGACTTAAGAGCTGCGCTCCGCGCTGTGAAAGGGTCCTTGCAGCATGATGGCATGGAAGACTCAGGGCACAGCCATGGATACCCCCAGTCCTAATGTTCATCTGAACCTATTGTTCCCGGACCTTCCTATGATCAATGGTACCAGTTCCAAGTACTCGACGCCTGCACATACACCATGTAAACCACTTGAATTCGTCCTGGACAATGGTGCAACCCACACAGTAGACTTGAGCATTTTACCCCGTCGGGTCGCGGGTACCCGACCCGACCTGACATTTTGGCCGGGTCGGGTAATACAATTCTGACGAATTACCCGGCCGGGTCGGGTCGGGTAATCGCGCCGGGTAATGCGTACCCGTTACCCGGAAATTACCCGAAATGTCGGGTAATTTATTACCCGTCGGGTAGTGGATGCCCTACCCGACATCGGGTTTATTACCCGACATCGGGTTGTGGGTACCCGACCCGGTTTCGGGTCGCGCAATTACCCGAAGCCAACCAGCGCGTTTATTTTTGCGCTGGTTGGGAAATTTCGACCATGAGGTCGAAATTTTCCGCGACTGTTTTTCTTCTCAGTTGCGTTCAACCTAAGCCTACCCTACCATGCACCAAGGAGCATTCCACACCGGTCGTACTACAAACCGCTCCTTGTTTTATCAAATCCTAGGGTAATGGAGAATGCAAGGGCTACTCGGCGTTCTTTTCTGCCTAGCCGTCCGTTTTAGGGTTCCGTTTTTTTAAGTTACACGTGCGTTTAGGGATTGACGGACAGGAGGGTCATGGTGCTACTATACGACAGTTGGGACGGGGTGTCTATGGCTGACCAGATCTGATCGCCGAAGGCGGAGGCGCCACGGCTGAGGAGGGGGGAGCGCAGGCCAGCAATCCCATACAAGGCGCATCCCTTGGAGCTCTCCCCGTACCCGCACAGGACCAGAGCTTAGCTCTGGGGAGTGGGGTTCGTGGGGCCGGAGAGGAGGCGAACATGCAAGCGGTGGAGCCCGGTGAGGGGGGCGCTCTGCCACGTGGGGGAGGATGGCAGCAGGTTGGGCAGCGTCCCAGTGGTGGTGGTGACCAGGATTGGCAGCCGGGCGCCGACGACGTGGTGGATCTCTCAGGAGAGGATTTATCCCCTGCCACGCAGGCGGAGGTTCGCCCGAGAGGCGCAAACCAGGGGGGCCGACCCCGAGGGCGTCCTAGGGGCCGGGGAACGGCCGTTCAGGGGGGGGTGCGGGAGCAGGGCGGCGTGCTGCGCGCGGCCGTCCCAGAGGGGCAGCAAGGGGTCTTGGGGCAAACAGGAGCAAATGAACTGTTTAATTCCCCTAAACCAGAAGAGCGCAGTCACAGGTGTCTGAGATGCATTCTCATCAGGTTCTAGCTTAGAGTAGCATTTTCCGCTGAATTTTACAGCCACCTAGGGATAGTCGGGTAATATTACCCGACTTTAATTGAAATCACGTCGGGTATACCCGACCCGCCACACGGGTAACCAATTACCCGGTATTAAAATGCCGGGTCGGGTAACGTACCTCCAAACATTACCCGGAAATTACCCGACCCGACCCGACCCGGACCCGATTGCGGGTAGGGCAAAACCGGGTCGGGTCGGGTAATTACCCGGTTTTGCTCATTTTTACCACACAGTCCTCCGGGACAAACAGTCCTTCAAACCATTCCAAGCACCTATTCCTCTCCTAGGCGCTGACTCCAGCTTCACCACTATTGTTGCCCATGGTTCATCCACTCTTCCATGCCCAGCCTTACCATTAGGCTCAGTCACTGGTATCTGCGTGCCTACTCTTCGGCACAATCTACTCGCCGAGCATGAGATTCAACGAGCAGGGGTAACCACCATCTTCCCAGCTCACTCGAATCACTGTGATCTCCTTGATCCAACCATCAACACACTCCTTGCATGCTTCACACTGACGGCCAACAATCTTTACACGCTCCAAGTATCTCCATCTTCCACTGAGGCACACTCTACCTCCATCACATCATCGTGCTCCTGCCGTCAGCTCACCGACCCAACCATTCTCTACCACCATCGTCTGGGGCATCCCAACTTTCGCATGCTTTCCGAGCTTGCATCCAAGAAGTTGCTTCTTCACTTGCCCGAGACACTTCCTCCACCCTCCACTTCTCCTGCTCCTCCATGCTTGGACTGCGCACAAAGCAAACTGCGCCAGCTGCCTCACCCTTCTTCACCCTCCGCTGCAGCCGCCCCGCTTGACCTCGTCCACATGGACGCCTGGGGCCCGGCTCCAATTCGCTCTCGCGACGGACACTCCTACTTCCTAGTGCTCGTTGACGATCACTCCCGCTATGCGTCCGTTCACCTACTCTCCTCCAAAGCAGCTGCTTCATATCTCGTCATCGCATGGGTTCGACAAGCCCAAAACCATTTCCGCACATCAGTCAAGTGCCTCCATTCCGATGGCGGTGGGGAATTTCGAAGTCATTCCCTTCAAACGTTCTGCGCCTCCCAAGGCATTCGCCAATCCTTCACCCTTCCTCATAGTCCGCAACAGAACGGCATTGCCGAGAGTCGCAATCACACCCTCGTGCAAATCGCGCGCTGTCTTCTCACTCACGCTGGTGCTCCACCTTCTCTTTGGAGCTACGCACTTCTCCATGCCGCGCTGCTTTACAACCTTCACCCTCACCCTCTTCGGACTGGCATCACTCCCGCCGAACTGTGGATCGGTACCAAGCCAAGTGCCCGTCCTCTCCGCGTATGGGGGTGTACCGCCTACGTCCTTCTCAACCCTCAAGAGCGTCGCACCCATGGCGGCAAATTTGCACCAAAAGCTCACCCATGTGTCTACCCCAGCCACAATCTGGACTCCCCCGACTACCTCTTTCTCAATCCCTCCACCAATCAGCTCATTCGCACCCGCGACGTCGCATTTGACGAGAGTCGCCCGTTTTACCTCTCCTCACCACCCGCCACCGCTCCACCTTCGCTTGTGTGGGCCGATTTCAACACTTCACCCTCTCCAACTCCTCCCTCTGTCGCTGCCCTCGCAGCCCCCTCACTCTCACCTCTTCCATCTCCTTCCACTCACTCTCACCCCCCTTCCCCCACCGGCTTCGTTGCCCCTACACCTCCCCGTGCACCCGCTTCTCCTCCACCTCCCTCTCCTTCTGCACCCCCTCCTGCGCCTACACCTCCATCTCCGCTTCTGCCTCCTACCTCCCCCTCTTCTCTGGAATCCCTTGTCACCTATCGCCCCCGCCGCCAGGGGCACTCTTATGTTTACGTTCCACCTCCTCCCCCGCCACCTCCCTCCTCTCCTGTCCCTGTTGCTCACCGCACCCGCTCTCATGGTCCCGCTCCGCCTCTCGCCCTCTCTGTTCGCATCTCCCTCAATCCGCCTCCTCCTGCCACGGGTGCATCCATGCCCAACCTCTTGGAGGATAGGCATGAGGAGCTGATTGAGATCAATGCTGCCATCCGTCAGCTCTGCTATCGCTTCCCCGATCTTGCCGACGCTCCAACTCTCAACTTCTCAGAAAATCCATCCATCCCGACCCCGAACTCGTATGATGAAGCCATCTCCGGGCCACACTCTCCTCAGTGACTCGCAGCCATGATCGCAGAGTGTGAAGCATTCGTTTATAACAATTCTTTCACGGACGTCTCTCCTCCGCGAGGACTTAACATTGTCTGTGGCAAATGGGTTTTTCGCGTCAAGTAGCTGCTTGGCGAACTCCCAGTCTTCAAGGCACGATACTGTGCAAAAGGCTTTACGCAGAAGAAGGGCCTGGACTTCTTCGACACGTTCTCTCCGACGACCAAACTGCCCACGCTACGGACCATGCTAGACATCGCCGCTCGATGCAACTTTGACGTTCACTCCATGGACGTCTCTGCCGCATTTCTCCAAGGGGATCTCCCCGAGGACATCTACGTGGAACGTCCTCAAGGGTTTCCCTTGCCCTTTCCACCCGGCACCGTCTGGAAGCTGAATCGACCAGTCTACGGATTGAAGCAGGCTCTTCGAGAATGGCACAAGAAGCTGAAGGCAACCCTCAAGTCATTCGACTTCCACCCTTCGTCAACCGATCCGAGTCTCTTCATTCGCAAGAACGAGAACCCGTTCTTCATTCTCGTCTACGTTGACGATATGATTCTCGTCTCCAAAGACTCCGATCAGCTGGCAGCTGTTAAGCAAGCTCTTGGGGACGCTCTCGCCATGAAGGACCTCGACGAACTCAAGAACTACCTTGGGATGGAAATCTCGCGGGATCGCGAAGCTCGAACCATCACTCTCTCTCAAGAGTTCTATGTGAACAACGTCCTCAGGCGTTTTGCCATGGACAACGCCAAGCCAGTGGCCACTCCCCTTCCCTTGCAGCATGATCTGACCGCTCCATCAGTTCCATCGCCTGAGCCTTGTGATGAGGCATACCCCGAGCTTGTCGGATCATTCACCCTTGGCAGTGGTGTCATCAGCTGGCGATCTACACGCTCATCATCCGTCTCATTGTCATCCTACAAAGCTGAGCTATACGCAGGCACCATGGCAGCCCAAGAAGCTCGATGGCTTACCTACCTCATGGCTGAGCTCAGGTATCCTCAGCAGACCCCGACTCTGTGGTGTGACAACGAGAGCACCATCTACCTCACCAAAGACCCTGTCTTCCACCAACGAACCAAGCATATCGAACTGAGACACTTCTTCATGCGCGAGCTCGTCCAGCGAGGGCAGTTGTGTGTCAAGCATATTTCCTCTGACTGCAACCTTGCCGACTTGTTTACAAAGGATCTTGGGTGACGTGATCACTATCGTCTCCTCCGTACCATGGGACTTGGCGTACCTACGGCTTCCGACGTTGCAGCCTAGGGGGTGTGTAACAGATAGGCTGCAATTCGGTTGGCACAACTTTGTGTGTTGACAATTTGTTGGTTTTAGGGATACGCATATTTGCTAGGTTGGGTGTAGCTATGTTTTCATCCCCAACCTATCCCAACCCAATCCATCCCAAATCCCCACGATTTGGGAGGATTCTCTTGGGATTCCCTCCGATTCTCCCTTATCCCTTCCCATCCTCTCCGATGCTCGGTACTTAAGGATGTATGCTCTTGCTCATTTCTTCAATCAAGTTCTCAGTTTCTAACATCCTTCTTTAAGTGGGGTCCTCCTCTAAATGGGATCCTCCTCTAAGTGGGGTCCTCCTCTAAGTGGGGTCCTCCTCTAAGTGGGGTCCTCCTCTTAGTGGGTTCTTCCTCTCAGTGGGGTCCTCCTCTAAGTGGGTTCCTCCTCTAAGTGGGGTCCTCCTCTAAGTGGGGTCCTCCTCTAAGTGGGGTCCTCCTCTAAGTGGGGTCCTCCTCAAAGTGGGGTCCTCCTCCAAGTGGGTTCCTCCTCTAAGTGGGGTCCTCCTCTAAGTGGGGTCCTCCTCTAAGTGGGTTCCTCCTCTAAGTGGGGTCCTCCTCTAAGTGGGGTCCTCCTCTAAGTGGGGTCCTCTAAGTGGGGTCATCCTTTAAGTGGGGTCCTCCTCTTAGTGCGTTCCTCCTCTAAGTGGGGTCCTCCTCTAAGTGGGGTCCTCCTCTAAGTGGGTTCCTCCTCTAAGTGGGGTCCTCCTCTAAGTGGGGTCCTCCACTAAGTGGGGTCCTCCTCTAAGTGGATTCCTCCTCTAAGTGGATTCCTCCTCTAAGTGGGGTCGTCCTCTAAATGGGTTCCTCCTCTAAGTGGGGTCCTCCTCTAAGTGGGGTCCTCCTCTAAGTGGGGTCCTCCTCCTCTAAGTGGGGTCCTCCTCTAAGTGGGGTCCTCCTCTAAGTGGGGTCCTCATCTGAGCAAGCTCCTCCCTTCTAGTCTCACCGGGTAAGCCCCGACCATGAGTTCAGCCGCAGTCAGCCGGTGCACCTCGTCCCTGGAGAGCCTGCCCGACCCCACCTTCACTTGGGCCCGCCTGGTGAGCCCAAACATGGCTTCCCTGGACGCCACAAGTGGGTCGTCGCCACGCTCAATGCTGGCCCTCAGCGCCTTGCCCAGCATGGGGTGCTGCAGCAGCTGCTGCACTGACAGCGGGAAAGAGCACTGCCGCGCAAAGGAGAGCGTCTCGTGCACCGACAGCGCCGGCAGGTGGCAGTCCGCCTCGAAGCCCACCCCAGCTAGGCGGTGCGCGCGCGAGGGGGTTACAGGGAGGGCGTTGAAGGTGACGGAGCCGGCAGTGGGGGGCTGCCGGCCGGATAGGAGGCGAATGAGGGTTGTCTTGCCGCTGCCTGGTGTGGTGAAGGAAGGGAGGGGCATGGATGAGAGAGGGCGTGATGAGAGAGGGCGTGATGGGGAGGGCGTGATGGGGAGGGAGTTGACGGAGACGGAGCCAGTGGTGGGGGGCTGCCGGCCAGCTAGCAGACGGATGAGGGTTGACTTGCCGCTACCTGGGGGATAAGAGTGGGAAACCGGGCAGGATGGAGAGGGCGTGGGTGGAAGGTGATGCAGGCAGCAATGACCGGCCGGCTACACGAGGTATGAGGGTTGACTTGCCACTGCTTGTGGGATACGAGTGGGTGTGACTGAGAGGGGTGAGGGAGTGAGAGAGTGGGTGTGGAAGAGAGAGGGGATGATGATGAAACGGATGATGAGGGGTTGCCAGCCAGCTGTGACACGGATGAAGGCTCAGTTTGCTGCTGTATGTGCCACAAAAAGCCGACAAGGCAGAGGCGGACGGGGATGAATACGCAGGTGTGCATGGGGGGCGCCGAAAGAAACTGCTTGTGGAATTCTGCTGCTGTGCATGAGGGGGGGCTCTGGGAAGGGAACCGGGTGATAGAGGGGGGGAAGGAGGATCTTGGGGGAGGGGACGTGGGATTGGCAGGAAAGAAGTGGTGGGGACGTGGAACATTCACCAGCTGGGGGCAGCCTCAAGAAAGGCTCATCTGCAGGTCACCTGAGAATACCTGAAGGCTGAAGCTCACCTGAGGATTCCTGGGGTTCCCCTGAGGCTTACCTGAGGCTCGCCAGAGACAACCTGAGGCTTACCTGAGGCTCGCGTGAGACAACCTGATTCTTACTTGAGGCTCGTCTGAGACTAGCTTCACCCAACACGGGCTGGGTGGTTCATCTGTGGTTCCAAAACGGGCTCAACTGACGCTCACCCGAGTCAACCTCAACTGGGTGCCCCGTGCTGGTGGCCCCAAGCCGGGCTTACCTGAGGTTCCAAGGAGAAGTGTGAGGGTCCCTGGCATGAGGAAGCTGCAGGGAAGGTGAGAAAACGTGTGATGGAGGAGAGATAGAGTTTGGCATTGCAAGAGGACAGAAAACAGAGATGAGATGCGTGGCACTCATGATTCATCTCACGTGATGCAATGGGCAGCAAACACGGCTGGGGACGGCTGGTCGCATCAGGTGAGGCCCAGGGTGTGTGGCACGCCGCACACATGGATGCGAGATGCAGCGTGAATGAAGCACAGCACACATAACACGCCACACACCCCTGCGGCGCTAGACGCACCCCGAGACATCGTTGAGCACTTGAACGGTCTCCTTCTTCTGCCACCCCGTGATGGACTTGAGCTTGAAGTACGGCTGCTCCCACCCGCACAGAGGGGCAAACCGTGCAGCGCACAGAGAGGAAAACAGAGGGACAGACAGAGGGGCAGAGAGAGGCGGGAATTAGCAGTCAGCAGGGGCGTGAACGAGGGGATGACAAGAGCAACGTGGGTACCTTGTGCTGATAGACTATCGCCCTCCTCCCCCTCGCACGCACTGGCTCCACACAGCCTGCTCTGTTATGCACTCATAGCGTGGCGCATCCTTGTGCACCCAGCGACCTCCCTTCAACCCAAATCATGCCACCCCTCTCAATCCGTCCCATCCTCATCGCGTCCCACCTCACTGCATCCCACTCTCTCTCTCCCGCGTCCTACTCTCTCTCCCGCGTCCTACTCTCTCTCCCCGCGTTCCACTCTCTCTCCCCGAGCCTGTTCTCTTCTCACCACATCCCATTCTCACCACATCCCATTCTCACCACATCCCATTCTCACCACATCCCATTCTCACCACATCCCATTCTCACCACATCCCATTCTCACCACATCCCATTCTCACCACATCCCATTCTCACCGCGTTGAGGCAGTTCTTGATCTGATCCGGAATGACCTCCACCTTCCTCGTCACTGCCACGTGGCTGAATGCCACCACCTAATTGGTTGGGTTGGACACGTGGATTCATGGATGGTTGAGGGCGACCATGCATGTCTTCACACACACACTCACTTGCACACTCACTTGCACACGCGCGTACACACATACGCATGCACGCACGCAGACACACACACATGCACACTGCATGCATGGACGCGCACGCGCGCGCACACACACACCCACACACAACCCCCCCCCCTACACACACACACACACACACTCTAATGAGCCTCGAGAAAACGTCCTGACCTGTGCGGCTGTGCCCGCTCAGGCGCCCATTGCTCCGCTCACCTGCGGCTGCGCGCACAGCAGGTGCGGCTGCATGGCGATGAGGTACCTCTGCAGCCCCTCCCGCACCACCACCTCGCTCCTCATCGCGTCCTCGTGGGACTCCACCCCCACCCCGCCTCCCGCTTCCCCTCGCCCCATCATCCCTCCACCCACCCCCGCAAACCATCCTCCACTCCCGCTCCCGCCCCCCTCCCCCTCCACCTCTCCATCCTCCCCGTCCTCCTCCCCGCCTCGCGCCATGCTCTTGATGCTGACGAGCCTGGCAGCGGCGGACGCGGCGATCTGCCGTGCCTCGCCGTCCAGCCCGTGCGCCTGGAGGGCCTCGTGGTACCTTCGAATGAGGTTGATCAGCGGCGCCTCCCCGATGCCCAGCAGCTCGTTGTAGAACGCGGAGGAGGCGGCGGGCTCGTTGTCGTCTTCGGAATCACCGCTGGCGCCAGGAGGACCAAAGCTCGCCCTCATGCGTCCACCGCCGAGCGCTACATTGTTACTGGTACTGCTTCCGCCACTGTAGTCGTTGTGCTGTGCCACGTCCTCGTTTTTGTCCTCCTCGTTATCGTCGTCGACACCGACGTGCCACGTGCCAGCAGCGAAGCTCACTCTCCCGAGCTTCGCCCTCCCCATTCGCCGACCGTTGCTCGCTTGATCCTCCCCTTCACTGCCTCTCCCAGGCGCTGTCCCCCCCCCGCTTTCCCCCTTGAGCGCCTCTTGCCCGTTAGTTTCCCCCCGGGCCGTTCCTCTGTTCCCCCCATCTGCTCCGCTTCCCCCGCTAGCTTCCCGGGCGTGCGCTGGCGCCTCCCCCTCCGCTTCTTCCCCCTCCTCCTCGGCGCATTCTTTGATCGAACCGACCTGGTACAACTTTGGCGCAGCGGCAGTGTCGGACGTGCTACTAGCGAAACCCGGGATCGCACTAACGAAGCTCGAGCCTCCCCCTGACGGCGTGCTCCCCCTGCTGCTAGCAGTAGAGCTGTGCAGCGAGGAGGCAAAGGATTGCGAGCTCGTGAAGGATTGCTGCTGATGTGGCGACTGCTGGCGCATGGACTGCTGACGCATCGACAGTCGACGCCGGAGCGTGGCATACTCATTGGTCGTGCTTCGACGGGGATCGTTAGAGGAAGGCGTCACGGTGGTGACGTCATCGTACCAGTCCTCGATAGTCTCCGGTACCGACGTGGCATCGCCAGGATCCATGGAAGTACCCATGACGGCGACTCGATTATCGGACGGTGGAGACTGAGAAAGCAGATAATAGGATAACCGGAGGTGCACTAAATTAACGCTTATTGAGTTCGCGTCGGCAGAAAGCAGTCACTTGTCTCTCTGGAATTTTGCATCGTCCAGAGCCACCATCATGGCGAAGGCTTCCGAATTATGACGCACGACAAACGACGTAGACACTGGAGGCAAGGGACGACCTCCAGAATTGTCTGGCCTGCTTGCTGAACAAGCGAGGGACCTACCGAATGCAGCAGTAATCTTGAGGAAATTAGAGCTGTGGCGTGGTACCTCTGGCCATGTCGGTGGACTGGCAGGGCAGAAGCTGCACCAGCAAGCGTGGAAATCATGTCATCCATCCCTCCTTCCATCTCCTTTGCTGAATCACCTTCGCCCTCTCCCATCCCATCCTCCATGCTATCCTCACCCATGCTATCCTCTCCCATGCTATCCTCTCCTAGGCTACATCCTTCACTGCATTGCTGAATCAGGGCGTGTCCAGCGCGTAAGTTTACGGTACACGGATCAAGGTTCAGTAGGATATATCACGATCCGGAGCGGTTCTCGTGCCTCACCACGTTGGAACTCTGAAAACATATGAAACCGTATAAAGTGAATTGTAAACGAGCGCGCTGGACACGCCCTCATTATCCGTGCAGTATTCCTGGTCCGCCACTCCCAGTCGCCCTCCTGTGATGGAAAGTGCAGCTCTAGGGCGTGTCCAGCGCATTCGTTTACTATTCACTTTGCGGATCAGGTACAGAATTTTGTCCTGGTGACCCGAAATTTTGTGTCCATTCGGACACGCACGATAAATTGACGGTTTCGGCGGACACCTTCCAGACGTGCCCACAGACGTGGGCCACACATTTCCGAACGGAATGAAAATCGTGCGCAAATTATGTACACGGCAGAAACGTCCAAATCCTGGCTGGCGAAAGCTGGAACGCTTCAATTCGCCAGGATTTCGTGACGCTTGGGAAGCGCGGCGAAAAAACGGAAGAATAAATGGAGTTGCATGCGCGACTCTACTTGCATGCATAAAAACAGATTCAAGGTATTGACTACAGCTTGAGCCCGAGAGAGGAACGCCACCTTTTCGAGCCGCGGGGGCTTCTGTCGATTTGGTATTTCGCCGGCTTTCGCTGCTAGAAGCGAGGGATTCAGGGTGAGCTCGTTGGTAACTTATTTTGTCGCAATAGGGGAAGGTTGGGTGGCAGAGTTCAGATTGCGTATGTAACCACGGTTACGCTGTTTAGCGCTTCGACGATCAGAAACAACCCCAAGTGCTGTTTAATTAGCTCAACCAATAGGTCACGAATATGACATTTGCTCACAATTTGTGCGGCTTCGATAAGTGTGGAGTTGTTTCGACCGAATAGGGCTCTAGTTCAGTCAGTTGCCAAGGGGTCATGCCATGCTGAGTCATCGAGGTGTTTCCCGTTTGCGGTGTTCCGTAGATTTCCATTGCGCTCGTGTCCTTCGCGGCTTCGCGAAAAACGCGAAAGGTCATTTGGGCCTGGACGAACCGCCCTCGCGACGCCGTCCGAAAATATGTCGCGAAAACCAGAAGGCTGCAACTGCTTCGTCGCTGTCCACATGTTCATCCCCGCTGTCATGATGACTCAGCACAGTTGCCGGCGCGGGGGACTCTCTCGAAACGGATACTGCCCGTAAACTTCTTCTATTGGGCGAGGGGGTGCAATTGGGATTTTTTTTGGGCAGGGCACTTTGCGGACATCGTCTGTACACAAATAAGATGGCCAACCTGCCACTACGACGGCAACCTAGAGCCCATAGGGAAATTGAGCCCTACATTTTTTTCCCCCTGGGTGGAGTCCCGGCTCGTAATGCGTGTTCGCGAAAGCGGGCGGGACCTCTTTCCTGGAGCGAAATTCGGTTACCCTGATGTTTTCAAGTCAGTCTGTTATGTGCGCGTTGCGCACCCGCTCATCTGTCGAGCCACGGGCGAGACTCGTGTCCACTCGTGTCCCAGCGTTTTGCTGTTGATACAGTAGGTGTACCTCAACACATTCACACATGGCGAATCAATATTTCTGCGTGTGAAAAAAACGTCAGCAATTCGTCTTGGGGAAAAATGAACGCGCTGGACACGCCCTCATTTTGGTTTCTCGCCAACGTGAAGAAAGCACGCACAGCGGAGAAAGCAGGGGATTATCTCCGAACAATTACCCTGAAAAAGCAGGGACTATCTGCAGCAACACTCTGAACATGCAGGATAAATCCAGGAAATCCTAGTCTGTTTGGTTTTGGAATCCGTGTTCGAACCTCGGCTCCCAAATGTGCAAGGGGTTAACATTTCTGCGTTGATGTTGCGGATATAGTTAGGGACCGAGGAAAACCGGATCCAAACTTTCAACCTACACATATTTTTGCAGGGATTAAATATTGAATTTGATCGGTAGTTTGCTCTGCCTCGCACTGGGAACCCGGAAAGCCATCCATACTGGGTCGCGTGATCTTCAATAAACCCCTGGTATTTCTGGTTCAGCTAGGGCGCTTAGCTAGGTAGCATATGGGGGGTTTGTAACGAGAAAGAATGAACGAGAAACATATTTTTGCGGACTGTTTACGAAATATTTCATAATTTCGTGGATAGGCTCTACTTTTATGGACAGCACATCAAACTTTTGCTTCTCCCGTGGACTCGGTCCATACTTTTGTGGACAGCGGGCATACTTCCATGGACACGCGCAAAATTGCAGATTAAAAACGTGCTTAGAACTGTACATGTTGTGACGGGCGGAAAATCGGGACCGTCGCAAAGGGTCGCAAGCTGTTTCGCGTAAATGTATGATAAATTTCAGTCACGCTCAAAATACATTTTGAGCCTGTAACGCACGGGCTACAGTCGACACCAGAGTATATCAGCAGCACTGGGATAAATCTCGTCATTAAACCAGATACCAACACCTCACATGAAATCCAGTCTATTAATAAAAATAATGTCTATATAGCGTTTGACATTAGAATTGATCGTAACTGAAGCCCTTAAAAATATCCGCAAAGTCAATTTCAGAAATATTCTATATAATGAGCACATTTATCCTTTCAACAAATATGTATTACAACTAATACATATACTCGTTCAAATTATATAAGTTATAATTTAATATAGGCTTGGTATGTTGTTACTGAACCTTTCTGTAGGGGGTACAAACCCCTCCTTGTACTCCCCTCCCTTACTAATCCAACACTATTTTTCTCTCGATACTCTCGTCCTCCTCCTAGCTTAACCCCGCCGCCACATTCATTGCGGCCTTGTTCCTGCCTAGTATCCTAGCCTAGAGCTTCTTTAACATGGTAACAGAGCAGGTCGTTTCCGGTCCTGCCTTCCACGCTTCCGCCTCGTCCTTGTCTTACGTTTCACTTCGTACCGTGCCGCTGATGGTGGCCTTTCGTTTTCCTGCCGCCGTGGCGGCCTTGCCTTTCCGTGCCGACTTCTCTGAGATGCCGCGGCGGCTTAGTCGAGCTACAGTCGCACCTCCGCCTCGCCGCCGCGGCATCGACGTCGCATTGTGGCGGCGTCTTTTAGCTGCCGTGGCGGCGTTATCGGGCGACAGCCGGCCGCGCATCCGTCGTTTGGCTGCCGTAGCGGCGTCATCGGGCGACAGCCGGCCGCGCATCGTCAATGGTGCCGCCGGACCTGCCGCCCGCTCTGCAGCCGCCGGCGTGATTCTGGACTACGCCCCGCGCCCCTCTCCCCCCCCCCCCCTCCCCCCTCCTTCCCCTGCTTCCCCCCCTTCCTTGCTGCAGCCAACGACTGCCTCATGCGGGCCCTCCCCACCGCCAAGGTGACTGGACATGCCGCCGAGAGGGCGGGGGCCGCTGCACCAGCCTCTGACGTTCATGCCGCCGCTGCCGCCGCTGTTGCCGCGGGCCGGGCGCCGCCGCACGCCGCCGCCGCCGCCGCTGTCGTCACTGTCGCTGCTGCCGCCATTGCCGTCCCAAGGGCCGTGGGAGCTGCCCACTTCCGGAGACGTTGCGGCTCTTGCTGGACATGGGGGTGCTGGGCTAGGGGGTGTGGATGTGGGTGTGGGTGTGGGTGTGGGGGTGTGAGTGGGCTTGACACTACCAAGCCTAGGGGGTGTGTTCAAATTATATAAGTTATAATTTAATATATGCTTGGTAGGTTGTTACTGAACCTTTCTGTAGGGGGTACAAACCCCTCCTTGTACTCCCCTCCCTTACTAATCCAACACTCTTTTTCTCTCGATACTCTCGTCCTCCTCCTAGCTAAACCCCGCCGCCACATTCATGGCGGCCTTGTTCCTGCCTAGTATCCTAGCCTAGAGCTCCTTTAACAATACTATTCAATTTGGTGTTTTCTCTAAAAATCCATTGTATGCTATATGCCTAAATAATGGAATTCAATGATGAATTTGAATGGGAATTTTCGTTGAAAGTAGAATGAAACACTATCAGAAAACCATTTAGTGTTTATAAAGTTCTAAAAAATGAATGGAAATACATGAACTACGAAATCTAAACAGTGTGCATATAATGGAGGCTCTTATGGAATGAGTAATGTTCAAATACCCATTTTTCGCCTTCAACCGTGGATGCAAGACTGTATTTCTTAAGCGCAGTAGTGTACGCGCCTTTATGTTTGAGAAATCGTAACTACCATTCTGTGATAGCGTAGTACGCTTTTATGATTGCGGCATTCTGCGTCGAATTTGGCATGGAGGCACTAGCTCATGACGGTTTGCGACGCACTCTGTTTCTGTTTTCATTATATTTTTCCGCTCGTTGTTAGAATACGAGAATAAGTTACTAGAACATCTACCTGTTGGGGTTGTACTCATTAGGAGCACTCACATAGGCTAGCCTATAACTTCTACATACAGCATATGTATATGTTGACACTCCCCCTAGGCTAGAGAAGGGGTGGTGCAAGCAAGAAGCATACACCTCACGGTGGCACTACTAGTCCAACCACTGAGGCAGGGGTCCGGAGACCAGTAAGCAAGAGTACAAACAAGACTAAAGCAAGCCAGGACAACACTACTAGTCCAGCCACTGGAGGTAAGGCCAAAAGGCCAGTCAGACAGGTATATATAATAGAGAGTACAGAATCAGGGTCCTAACAAGTGAGAAGCTACAGGAACAAGACCAAGCTGTACACAGTGCCGTTGATGATCTTTAGGCGCAAGCGCCTTAGTAAAGACATCAGCTGTGTTGGCACATGAGGCTAAGTGAACTACGAGGGCCTGGCGATGTTACTGTAGCTCGCGTAGGGGGAAGTACCGCAGCTGGATATGCTTCGCTCTGTCCTCAAGCCGAGGCTCCTGACACAGGAGAATCATGGCCCTGTTCTCAGCATACAGGACCAGGGCAGAGCTAGGCCGCTCACCTAAGTCTGTGAGCAAGAAGGTCAA